TTCAGTATTAATTTTAGACATTCTGCGGCTTCCTTCGAATATTGCGAACATCACAAATCAATCCTCAGCAGTGAAGATCCTAAATTTTTCCTTCGATGGCCAATGACCTCATTCTTTGCTTACTGCAATCTTCAAGCCTTCGTCTCATTACCTCATCCCTTGTTTACCATTATCTTATCCATTCTGAGCACTGAACCTAGGATAAGCCCTACTCTCCAACTTTCAGAACTTATATTCTACAAGCTGTTTCCCTCAGAAATGAATCTTTCGAATTATCGCCGAACAAGCAGCTAGACGCGAGAGTTTTGACGCTCTCACAACTCAGTACGTTACAGTTTGTATTGTTTGAAGCTTTCGGGTGTAAGCAGTGTCCAGTAGAATATATTTCCCGCCAGTATTCTGAGGACCCACTGACAATCATCATCTGCAATGCTAGCGAAACGTTCAGAAACAGTATAAACTGTAACGAACTACCCCCACATTTGCCACCTAATTTCGTCCAACTTCCATCCACTGTTTACACCGCCTTCTACCGAATACAATAAAAACAAGCTCAGCGGAATATAACAGGGGACGCATTTAATGAAACTGTTTACTTCGTTCACGCGTCATTAACGGTGCACTTAAACGGCTCCGTACGTAGAATAGAAATTTTAAGACGTAAATTCACCCGAAGATCGTACTACGGCCAAGTAATTGTTGCACGACGACAGGACGATTGTCCGGTTCGCGTGCCAGCGTAATGGACGTATGGTACACGTACGTAGAAACATCATGTAACGCGTGCAACTACGTACCATTTGCACACGTGGGGGTTTCACGGGCGTGCTGGTCGCTCATCGTATGAATGGCGTGGGACAATGCTTCCTACCATGACCCACTGGCACACAAATAAAGGAATAACTTAATATTCGTAGATGATAGACTTCTTCTTCTTCTCTTTTTTCTCACCTAGCAAGCCAAGTTTCCGCTCGGAATTGCGTAACATCGTCGAGCTGCAGCTTAATCGTACACTCGAGGCGATTCTCCACGAAAATCGTTTAGAAACGCAGAAATCAACAGAGATTCGACTCGTGCAACATTCGTATTGTTTATCAAGTTTCGAAACGTGTTTCGTGGAATTCGGTTTACATCGAAGGATATAAAATGTACCGCTATACTTTCACTCATTTCCAGCGGATTCCTTTTTCTTCTCTCTCTTCAACTGAAGCTTCCGAAACGTACTAACGGGGCCCTTCTCAGAGACTCGCTATTCGAGCAATCTCTTAACACGATCGATGACTCGACGTTTCGTAAATAGGCGTTCCATAATCAGAATCTCGGTGGAAACGTGCTTCCCGTGGATCTTCTCGCGTGTAACAGCGGGGACAGTTTGAAGAAGAACGATCGAACGCTTGTTAGCCTCTTGCGAATGCATTAGGGTGAAGTGTTCTCGATGCACCGGATATCCGAGGTGGTTTATCATAGCTTTCTTTCCCCGCGATCGTTGCCAATAAAGCGTATACTCCTTTGTACCGTGGTACAAAGTAGAAATCGCGTACACACAGAGAAATTTCTTCTCGTAATTCGACGAAGCTCCTCGGGATAGATGGAGGAACGAGTGTTTTCCTGAACGAATACAAAACGGTGCTCGATATGTTTATTGTACACGTCGATATAATACACGGGCTTTTCACTTTGGCCTCGTTTGCACTACGTTTCGTCGCGCTATCTATAGCTGCGGGATTTGAATTTAAAGTCATTGTCGCCTCGCGATCGGTGTTGACGAAACCTTCGGCTATCATCGTCCTTCGATGATTCCAACGTGCCACACACCGTCTACTGCATCTCTCTCTTTCTCTTTCGCGAACGCCTCGGACAGCATTAATGACGCTATAAAGTATACGAATAACAATGAATCCGTGATACGTGTGCACTTGCAACTCTTGGTAGTGCGTGAGACATTTCGACACGAAAATATTGCGAATTCAGTGTACTCGAAGCTCGTAAAATCGGGTTTAACCCTGACACAGATTTGACCAGGATTCGAACAAATTCCCAAATAGTTTTGTACAGACGTACCGTGTCTAATTCTATCGTTAACGATACACAAGCGACGATCGCGCGACCACATTCCATACTCGATCAGACTAATTTCTAAACGGTGTCGAAAGTGGCGGACGTCTCGTGTTTCGTCATAATCGCTGACAATCGAAAAGTAGACCTGTTTCGGTTTTACTTCTCTTTTTCGTTTTAATTGGGTATTAACGACGATGATTCGGAGGAAATTAGACTTTATTGCGGAACATGAAGTTCCTTAGAAAGGAGAAAGCTTTCAGTATTTGATGATCGCTGAGATTTTCATTTGAAATTTCTTTCATTTGGAATTTGAAACGAGCTTCGGTATAAGGTAAAGGTACCAGTAGTTGACCAGTTCTCTTATTTTTCTCCTATCCAACTAATTTGCAGGACAGTACATTTAA